TTATTTTTATCTTTATTTTAAAATAAAATAAATTAAAAAACCGAAAAAAATTAAATATTTTTTTAAAAAAAAAAAAAATTCAGATAGGAATAAAAAAATAAGAAAAGTAGAATTTGGCATATGAGGAGGAGCTGGTGGCTATTCTAGCCCGGCAGGTTCGAAAGTTGATATCTAAGAGTTTTCCCTCTGTGAAAGTGCAATAGAGAGGTCAACCGATCGAGGCATCTACGTGGGAGTCAGAGTCCAACATATGGAGGAATGGTTTTTGATGTTTTTGCCATTTTTTTGGATTTAAAGATCGAGAATAAAAGGAGGTAACAAAGGTTTGGTGTTTTTGAAGAAAGCGTTTGAAGTAGGATCTTGTGCGAACTCACTTGAAACTTTATCCCATCATAAAAATTTTAACTTAACTTAGCCTATTGCAACAGTTTTTTATCTATTGCAAAGAACAAGATTAAAAGGTTTAATTGAAAATGAAAAAGTATAAGAAGTGCAACAACAAATGTAAATAAGTACAGTCTCTCAGGCCAATAATCACTCCACTCGTTTCCCTTGAAAATCTGACAAAAGTCGCCTCTGCTCAAGCTCAAGTTTATCAAAAATGGCAAATGGGACGAATGTCCTCTGTTTTTATAATTTACAGCTCTGCCCAGTTTTGAAAATAAATACTACACACTTAGATATACAATACAAAGCAAGGAAATGAAGAAATGAGCATAAAGGAGTAAGAAATTCTCAATCAAAAGCTTCAAATCTTCAAGAGCCACGTCCGACGCCGTCCCATGTCCCGCAGCGTCCGACGCCGTGCCATGGCCACGTCTGACGCCGTGCCATGGCAGCGTCCTCGCACGCGACACCCCGAAAACCTCTATTTAATAGAGCGATATTATAATCGAAGAGCCAACCTTCGTTATTTCAAAGTAGGAGATTTGGTTATGAGGAAAGTAATCCAAAATACTTGGGAGCTTAACGTGGGAAAGCTAGGTCCGTTAGCTCCGTTAGGTAATTTTGGGTTTAGGAGCGTGTACGGATTGTATTTTGGAGGTTCAGAAAGAGACCAAATTATTCTCCGCCTCTCGAAACTGGAAAGCAACGCTACTGAGACTGTTGTTTTGGAAGCTCTTTTGCAGCAAAGCGAGCAAGAAGATAGAGGCGTCACTAAGCTTATCCTATACTTGGTATAACAATTAACTAAGGCTCAAATATTTAAACTTGCCACATAAATCAACAATACATCATTTTCCACAATAAGGAGCCCATGGCTCGACCATAATGTACTCCAGGTATGATTCTAAACCGGTTAGAAGACGAACGTTTATTTAAGAGGGGGAGAATGTAACGACCCGACCGGTCATTTTCCGACCTTTTATGAGGAGGCGTTAAATGAAGCTCGAGAATTGAAGACCTCCGATATAGGCGGAGGCTCTAGTGTAGGGGATCCAGAGCTGGTACAACAAGAAGTAGAAAAGGTGCAGCTAATTCGAAACCAATTATTGGCCGCCCAAAGGAGGCAGAAATCTTAATCAGATTTGATAAAAGAAACATATTGAAGATATATTCATTAAAAGTCACGCAAAAAATTAGTACGATCTCGATTCATCCACTAAAGAGAGATTGACAAAACCTTAAAAAGTATAGAAGACGATGAATGAAAATTTAAGCAAAATATGAAAAATTCTCTTAGTTGGAATTAAAAAATAAAATTAAAGGTAGGTGAATTGTTTTTTAAAAAAAAAGTAAAACAAAGTGGAAATTAAAAAAAAAAAAAGTAAAATAAGTGGAAATTAAAAAAATAAAAGTAAACTAAGTGGAAAAATAGTTCTGAGGAAGATAAGAACAAAATTATATAGCGAGGGCCATATACATATCATAATAGACCCATGATATTGAAGCAATAGGGTCGATTTGTGGTCGGAATTTGATGATTTTAGTATGGTTGGACTCGTTATTGAATGGATGTTCTGATTTTGCATATTTTATCGGGTTCCAAGGCGTGGGCCAGGCACGAGTGACTGTGAGGTTTGCCCGAGGGGATGTATATGAGTGATGTTTTGCCCGAGGGGCTGTTTCGATACGCTCGTGGAACGCCATCTCCTTGATTGTGGTAGGCAGCGCGTGCCTCCGGCGTGCTTCGGCATCTGCACGCTCCGGACGCCTTCATCATTAAAGGACAAGGTTCCTTTTGGTATGTAATCCTGAGCCCGAGATCGCTTCTCCCTTATAATCGATACCTTAGTGCGTTTAAACACTGGCCCTTGGCGAACATTGATTACTCCGATAATCATGTAGTAGTTTCGCTTCTGCTGAACTCCCCAACCGCACCAGCAGCACTGCTTCTGCGGAAGAAAGCCCGCTTTAGCAGCTTTTCATTAAAACTCCCGACCAGCCGCTTCTGCGCTCAAATCCCATTTTTGCAGCGGATGTTGCTTTTAGGACTCCACCGGCACCTTATGAGAAATCAAAGTTTTTGGGTTCCGGGGGGAATATGGGTTCAAGGCTGAAACTTAAAGGAATTGACACATTTTCCAAAGGCGTCATAGCATGAAGGCATCATCCTCATAGCCCGAAGGCATCATCCTCATAGCCCGAAGACATCATGCCATGGCCTGAGGATCTCTCAAATCAGATTATAGCATTTGGGCTGTAGGAGCCCCTCCGGAGTCTAAACACCCCCAGTGAGCGTGTGTACCCATTAAGTATGAGTGCTGAGGGCTGAGAGCCGAGTGGTTGAGTTGTTGTGACGAGTTGAGTGACTGTTGCCCTGAGAGGTTGTACTTGCTTTTCATTTGTTGTTGCACTTACTATTATCTTCAGTTCCTTAGTTATTATTGTTATTTACTGAGTTGGTTATACTCATACTACATCCTACACTTCGTGTGCAGATCCAGGTGTTCCCAGATACGTGGGTCACAGTCCCGAACCCGTAGGCTATCGGTGGACTGCTCGAGCTNAAAAACAAAGCATTGCGATGGTCCCTACGGATGTTTACGCAATGTGATTTATGCCCAGTGCTCTGAATGTCAAAGTGAAGAAATTCAACCAAGCGCGGGTAACTGGGGGTAGGGTCATCAGTAACTCCAGCTCGTGTCCTCACCATATGTGAGAGTATAGAATGACAAAAGGTTCAAACTCCGAGTTGTCTCACCCGACAAGAACCACAGCCCCCATCGCTCCGCGTTCGTGACCCAGCCTTCGCGTTCGCGAAGAAGAAAAACCCAACCATTCCAGTTTCTACTTCGCGTTCGCGAGAGTGCCTTCGCAAACGCGAAGAAGGAAATCCTTAGTAGCTTTACATTTTGTTAATCTATTTATGTAGCCTTCAAACAGATCGTATAAATTTTTTTTGTATCAGCTTTGTAAATTCTAAGTCTTAGAAGCTCATGATTTGTACTGCTAGTTCTTGGAATAATTTTAAAAGTTCGGACAATCCTTCACTATTTTTCTATAATTTCATTTGGAGAGTGTGGTCCAGTGGCACATTTCCGTCACTAAAAGTCCATTTTTCGTCACTAAAAGTTCACCAGAAACTGCTCTACCAGCCTTCCTTCAATTGATAATAACTTTATGTACAAATGTCCAAATGATAAATGGTTTACCTTTCTGGAAACTAGAATCAACCGACTACAACTTTCATGTTTTGCAACTTTTTTGATTCCTTATGAATCGCGAGATATAAGCTTTCAAAATTGGCTCCATACATCAGAATTTCTGGCAGCCAGAGCACCTGCGCGAGCTGCGACAGAGGAGCCCCCAGTAGCTCCAGCTGGAGGGCAGGCACCTGAGGTACCTGTTGCTGCACCAGCCCTCCAGGAGACTCTAGCCCAGTTCATGAGCATGTTCAGCACCTTAGCTCAGGCTGGATTGATTCCACTTGCACATGCCACATCTCAGGCCGGGGGAGGAGCACAGACTCCGGAACCTTGTCGACTTGAACCCACGGCACTGGAGTACAGGCGACGGGAGTCTGTGCTCCTCTCCCGGCCTGAAATGTGGCATGTGCAAGTGGAATCAATCCAGCCTGAGCTAAGGTGCTGAACATGCTCATGAACTGGGCTAGAGTCTTCTGGAGGGCTGGTGCAGCAACAGGTACCTCAGGTGCCTGCCCTCCAGCTGGAGCTACTGGGGGCTCCTCTGTCGCAGCTCGCGCAGGTGCTCTGGCTGCCAGAAATTTCGATGTATGGAGCCGATTTTGAAAGCTTATATCTCGCGATTCATAAGGAATCAGAAAAGTTGCAAAACATGAAAGTTGTAGTCGGTTGATTCTAGTTTTCAGAAAGGTAAACCATTTATCATTTGGACATTTGTACATAAAGTTATGGTTAATTGAAGGAAGGCTGGTAGAGCAGTTACTGGTGGACTTATAGTGACGAAAAGTGGACTTTTAATGACGGAAAATCATTAATTATCTCTGCCCAGTGATTTCTTCTATGTTTTTTTAAGTCTCACGTTGAATTCTTGAAGATCCAAATTTTGGCGTTTGACATATGCTTAAAGTAGAGATGCCCTCACGTTACATATGATCTTTCTTTGTTAGAAATATATTTTGTTAAAATTGATGTGGGCCCCACATTATGTGGTGGCTTAACCACATATGGGCAAAACATCACTCATATACAGCCCCTCGGGCATGTCTTATATGCGCTATAGGTACAACACATATAAGACATGTGTTATACCCACCAATTATTGTGGGTCAAATAAATAACAGGCATAGCGTATCAAATTCATGCGCTATATATAAAAATGGCACGACGTCGGACGTGGCAGGACATGGCCATGGCACGACGCAGGAGCGTTTCTCATTTTTTGTTCCTTTGGTCATTTTTTATGGGACGATTCAATTTTTGGCGATCCGTGTCTGGTGGCATGGGCCCCAATAGCTCGCGTGAGTTATAACACACGAAAATTGAGAAATCGGGTAGAATTCCTGTTTTATGGCCTAAAACAGGAGTGTGAAGCTTTAAATGAAGCCAAGAAATTAATCATGGTATCATCAAATGTGTCATGCTATCATAATGTGAATTAATAAAAAAAACCATTTAACACAATCAAGCCATTGTAAAATGGTTGAATCGCTAAATAATTCAGCAAGTTGTCATTTTGTTCTGTCCTTTCTTCAATGACAAATAACCTATCTGTTAAAACTTAAAAGTAGTCATTGTCATCTACGAATAATATTCTTAGAATGGAAAATGGTTGTGGGGATAACCAAGTAATCGACGACTTACTATTTTTCAACCCAAATATTGATCATGGGTTATTTTTCAAGCCAATTTAGGAAAATGTTCAAAATAAGCTTTGAGATTCACATCCAACAGTAGCGCTAAAGTACCGATTGCCAGAACTGAGCCGATTAGTTGAGCTATTATGTACAAAGGTACCTGCATCACATGCATATGATGTTAAATACTTCACATACATTTTGCTAATTCTTAAGATTAAAAGGCTAACAAACACTTTTGACAAAAAGGGATCAGAAACTGTAACTGCTGCGAACTCAAAATCAAACCAATAAATAACCATAAGATTTTATGTCATTGAAAGTTAAAATTGAAACAGTTAAGACTACAACTAGTACGTACTAATTTCCATGGGAAGTGACGGAAGATAGTGAAAGTGATTGTAACAGCAGGATTAAAATGACCTCCTGATACTTGTCCCAATGAGTAAACCATCACCATCGCAACTGCTCCCCATGTCATGCTTATCCCTGGAGATGTTAAGCTCTCATCATCGTATAGCTTATTCATGGCAACCGATCCACACCATGAAAATATAATGAAGTACGCGCCAATGGCCTCTGCAATCAACTGGAACAAACATAACAGGGTGTAAATCAGTTAAAACTTCAAAAAGAAAACTAAATTTAGAAGTTAAATCCATCAAATTTGAATCTTGGATTTGCCTTGTGAAAGAACCTGACCTTTTGTGCGACTGCAACAACCGAAGCTGATGAATACAGCCTTGTGTTAGTATCAGAGTGAGACTTAAGGATATTGGCTGCAGGGGCACCTTCTTCCATTGTATATGGTGATTTCTTCTTCTCAGTTACCATCCATTTTCGCCCTCTTTGGATATCATAAAACAGGAAAATAGAGGCATAAAGGGTTCTCAATTTGTTTTCTCCTTGTCAACAAAGATGAGGATGTGATGAATAGTTGGAGAATATGTTCGATCCCGCTGTATATTAGGATCTCTAGAGCTCACACTGTTTCAAACTTCCATTCAGCCCTCCAATTTTCTTTTAATATTTATATTTATCTTTTGGTTTACTTATAATATGGTATGGTCTTCTTCACATTTCCGAAAGAATTGTTGACGCGCTGTTGCCATTTTTCTTTTTTCTTTTGCTTATAATGTTCATGAACTATGTATTCGAGGTGTCTTCACTAGATTAATTAAAGGACAATTGCCTTTACATGGCTAATCCCGTTTAAATGATAGAGCAGCTTCTTAGGAGTTCTGTTTTGTTGTCCAAGAGAGAGGACTAGTTGAGACAAGTCCAATTTGACCAATCGACCTTGAGTTTAAGTTCTATGCGGCGTAAAGAATATTTACACAATTAAGTCAATTATTAGATAACTATTGGTACATATCTTGATAAATATTAGTAACTGATAATCTAGTAAAAATGGTAACTTATAACCCGCTATCACAGAGTAAAAAAAATCTTTACATTGCCAGGATATATATTACTTAAATCCTTGAAGGTTTAGTGCATGATCTAAATTATTGTTGACTTTCACACGTAAAAAAAAAAACATGATTATTAACCAAATACACATAAGAAACATAACAGTGCGTGCTGAAAAAGCCATATACTTCTAGCTGTTTCCTTCTCTGTAAAAGACAGACAAAGAATGACTAACGTCTCAATCGAAATAATTACTAAGTTTCTCTTTTGGTCTGAAAGGATATATATATAGCACATATATCTTAAATTTCTCTGGCTTTTGAAATAGTACGAGGATCACTCAAAGCACTTTTTAAGTGTATCCATTACAATATATTGCCTCAGCCTTCAGCAGAAAAGCATGAGAAGTTCTGAGAATAAAAACTCCATTCGTTCCTTTTAAACATTCTCCGTATATCACAAAAACACCATGAGGGCGGAGAAATGAAACTGATAGTTGTATAACCTTCAATACACAATCTATGTTACAAGGGCCAAGGTCAAAAACTACATTTCTAAGACCTTATTGTTTCTAAAATTACTGAGTAACCAGTCACCTGGCGCCTTTCAGAAGGATCCGGACTGGCATTCTGTAGTATCTATCTATCTATCTATCTATCTATCTATCTATCTATCTCATTTTCCCAACTACGGAAAATCAATAGCACGCTGGCTCAAAAAAGAGGTGCAAGGCGGAGAGAAGTACAAAACAACCACATTATACACCACTACCAATTGAAAAACATTTCTAGTCATTTATGCAGCTGTCAATGGATTTTGTGATCGAAATGCCATTGGCTGCACGAAAAAAACTAGATTGGCTTTTCTAAACTAGAAACAGATAAGTCAGATGGAGTACGTATCAGTGCCCTTTGCTGTAAATGCCTCAAACTTCGCTCCATACTAACTTGTACCATTTCGGCAAGCATCTCCTTTGTTTTTCCTAATTGATCCTCTCCATCTATCTGAGATATAATATTGGAAACAATGTTCTCCAATGTGTCAGGTTGAAGTTCAGAGTTAGGATAAGGATTGTCTCTGAGCAACCTTAAAAGTATTTGCGCTTTTGTTTGAGACTCAGTTGTTCCTTGAACAGTCATCTCAAGAAGTCCAGGAATTACACCTTCTTTCAGAATTGGTTCTCTGTATTTATAGCGGTCGCTCTGGCACATTGTTAGGAGAGTTCCTACAGCATGTTCTCTGCTTTGAAGAGATCCACTTTCAAGCACCTCTACAACTGCAAATACTCCCCCTTCCTCAGATATCAATGCAGTTCTACCCTCCTCATAACTCACTAAGGATTCAATGAGAGCAGTACATTTCTCTGCAGTTTTTGAAGACTTTTTACAAGATTTAAGCAGAGAAACAATGAAATGTATGGCCTCTGTTTGAAGGATCAAGTTTAGGTTGCCTTGATAAGTTGACAGATTGTAAAGAGCCATCACTGCATCAACCTTAGCTTGTGAGTTTCCTTGTCTTAGGACTTCCACAAGTAGAGGAATGACACAAGAAGCACTAATAATGGGCTTTGTCACAGAAGAAGCGGATAATGTAAGCAATGAAGCCGTTGCATGGTCTTGTAGAGTTGAATTCTCTGATTGAAGAAAGCCTATGAGGGGTCCCAAGGCACCAGCATCAATGATACTTAACTTGTTTCTGAGGAGAGAAGCAAATATTAATCAAAGTCAGAAGCTCGCGGAGCTTTAATACTTAATTTGGTAGAATTCTGGAATATTGTTTGAAATTGGCAATCGTCACTTTCAAATCTTTCTTTAATGTATCAGAAAGCACAAATAGTCCAGATAAATTCTATTGGATGGAAGATAAACAAGTCAAGCACAAGAGTGCAGATAAGTGACACAAAATGTCAAAATCTTTTTGTGCAAACACACACATAGACATCTCAATTAACAAATCCTGTGTTCCTTTAATTAGCTCTGATGGTGTCTCTGAAGGGTGGTGTAGGCTTTGTCTATTTACTGAAGTTGATGTTATAACAGATTTAAGTAGCTGAACTACTAGGGAGAGCAATCGGAGTTCAACTTGAATGCATACAAGGTATTACACTGCACTATCCTATTCTAGCTACAGGTAGAGATTTACAGCTATGGGACAAATGCTTACTGCACTTAATTGATTCTGTCATACAAGTCTAATCCAAAGGAATGAATAGAAAAAAAGGTTTACAGACTAAACGGTTTCGCGGTCTTGGGCTACAAGTTGTGGTATTGATGTAAATGTTTACTTCTTTGGAGAAAACACCAGTCTTTCTCCATTCTTAATTTACTCCTAAAATGATGATCATAGACTAACTATAGAGCAATAGCAGGGTTCAGATTAATTCCCAGAAGCACTCAAACGCGGTGCATGCCAACGAGAAGTAGTAACTGTGTCTATTGAAATTTGAGACGTAGAGCTATATCATTTGGCACTATAGATGAACGAACAAACAAAGAGTGAATAAAAACTTTAAACAGTAATCACTGTAATGGATAACTCATTTAGTTTAGGATCAAATTCTGATATTCCCCATATACCATTACAGAAAGAATTAATCGTTTGAGTAATCTGCACATCAGCACATCCATATTCGTCCACGCATCATTGCTATTAATATAGTTGCAACCATCCTATGTGAGAATATTTGATAAAAGTAGAAATTCTTGCTCATGGATAAAAGAATAACCCCACCTGTAAATCGGACCAATCTGAACATAAAGCATTTCCATGTCAAGGGGTCAATTGAAAAGCATTTTGGGTATATATGCCTCCAACTTTTATTGACTTTAACAAATACTTAAATTCACGGCAACCGGTATTATAATCACTGATGACCCAATCAAAAGTCTGAAACTACTAACTTTGCCAATACCTTTTTCCTAGATTATTAAAATTACTACTATTAGCTTAATTGTTAGGCAACTAATGCTACAGATTTTCTATTTCGAGAATAGGACTCAGAAGCAAGCACCACTATTTCATGGATCATTTTGAACACTTCCTCCAAATAACCTCAAAGAATCATAGACATTCCCCACTTCAACCATACGTTAAGCTCTAAATGGTATTTTGAGCTTAAAGTTCTGATCTTTTCAACTGGAAACTAAAATATTTTTTAAAGCAGTATCCAACAATATCCAGACCTGATTCTTCTACAACTTGAGATGAGCTCATTTCTTTTCACTACTAGAAATCCGGTAAAAACCGACCAAAAAAACCGACCAACGTTGGTCGGTAATGGCCAAAAACCGACCAAAACACGACCATTTACGTGTGGACGGTATTTTTGTGGTCGGAAAGGAATACCGACCAAAGTTGGTCGGTCGGTCAATTAAATTCAAAAAAAAAAAATATTGCAAAAAAAACCGACCAAAGTTGGTCGGTATTTTAATTATGTAAAAAAAGATTCACCATCTGTGAATCGAACCGGGGTCTGTACTGTGGCAGGATACTATTCTATCACTAGACCATTGGTACATTTTGTTTTAAGACTGTCTTTTATTTGATTTATACTCTTTAATTGTATTTTCGCACGAAAATAACCGACCAAAGTTGGTCGGTTTTTTTAAATGACCCGCCGAATTAACCGACCAATTTTGGTCGGTTTTTTTAATATTAATTTTTATTTATATTAATTGAAAAACCGACCAAAGTTGGTCGGTTTCTTGAAACATAAATTTTACGGGACTCAAAAATAGTTTCCCGCATTTTTGCGCCAAAGAAAACCGACCAAAGTTGGTCGGTTTCGTAAAAAAAAAAATTTAAAAAAAATATTTTGAAAAACCGACCAACTTTGGTCGGTTTTTTTACCGACCAAAGTTGGTCGGTCGACCTTGGTCGGTTTTTGCCGAATTTCTAGTAGTGTTTCTAAAGCGGAAGTAAGTTTCACACAGGAATTCTTTTCTTGCTTACTTTTCTCAGCAATCAAATGGAGCGGAAAGAACATTGAAACAGCCCAAATTAGTACGACAAATTCACAAGCAAAAAAGTTGAATTAGTCGAGGTGCGCGCAGCAAACTGACCCGACATCACGGTTCTAAATTATTTTGTATCCCAAAAAAGAATAGTGGAATCAAGGAGAGTTAATATACATAATACTTCTAGAGTACTTTTAAGTCCAACATTATCACTTAATTTCTGAAATAGAAATCTATACAAAACTACTACTCCACTATAAAGCTGATCTTTTTAGGGATCTTTACACAATAGACGGCTAATATTAATAGTTTACTTTTTCTAATCATATATATAGATTATACACTGATTATACACAATTATACACATGTAATACATAAATTATAAATATATTATATATTCACCGAATATTTTTAGTTGAAGTGGTAAGTTGGGCAGCTATTTGGGTTAATTCTTCCTCTTTTTATAATTTAAATAGTGAATACTATAATAATACTGTAATTATTACTATTATAATCATCATCACGTAAAACAAATTTAGGTGAAATGAAACACTGTCCGTTCTAAACCCTGAAAATGAGAACCACACAAATATTTCAGGCGTACCTTTCGTCTTTAACAGCGAGATTGAGGAGGGCAAGGAGAGCGGCTTCTTTAGACTCAAAGGAGTTAGTAGAACGGAGCATATCAACGAGGGGTTTCACGGCGTTAGAGAAATAGCGGCGGTAACGTTTGGAAGTCTTGGTGAGTCGTCGAATTTCCATAGCAGCCTGAACTTTCAAAATAGGGTCATCGGATTGAATGAGAAGAAGGTTCCGATTAACGCTGCATGTATCAGTGGTGGTGATGGGGTTGGTGTAGCTCTCACCTCCGACTTCCATCACATATATACTCACGAAAGAGTAAATAATTGGGAATTAATTTTTTTTGAGAGTGAGAGACGTAAGTTTGAGAAGAGAAAAAACATGGGCACCTGCGCCGTGGCGTTAAGCAACTGTTATAGAACCCAACTCCGCCTGTTTTGTGGGGACAGCAGCCATGGAGAGTTTGGGGTCTTCTTTTCAACAATATAGTACTCCATGAGATACAAACTTTTAAACAGACTTTTTGAATTTTGTGATCATAAATGTTAAAAGGTCAAACATTTGTGGGTCATAATAACATTTGTGGGTCATAATATTTATATGATTGTACAAACTTATCATTAATAATTAAAAAATAAATTAAAAAGTTTAAAGTTAGAATTGTTTCTAATATAAAAATTTGTCTTTTTTTTTTTTTTAACGAAGTATTAAAGAAAGTTACTCGGGAGCTTTTAGGATTATATGGCCATTTATAATTTTAATTTAAGTAAATGTCCTTACCCATTTTAATATTTTCTTTTTCAATTACTTTTCTTATATATTTTCCTATGTGGCAATATATTAGTCTACCTTTGCAAACTCAAAATATGAAAGGACATATTTGTAAACCAAATCAAACATTTCTTTTCCTTTACAATAGAAAAACTTCTCTGGAAGGACAAAACCCCTCGCTTGGAAACCCTTCTCGGCGATTTCAATGAGAAAAGAGTGTTGGCTTCTAAATTCTCCATTTTTCTTGTGTTTTCTAGTCGTTTTTGTTATGCTATGTTCTAGGGTCCCCATTATTTTTTGTCATTCTATTGCTTTTTAAAATTCCCTTTTCTTTTGTCAATCAAATCACAAAAGATGACAATGGAAGCTATTCCGGACGTTACTGCTTCTGGGTCGATGTCCAATGGAGATGAGGTTGAGTCACAGGAAGGTGACGAGGAAAATCGGAGGAGGAGAGTGGCGATGAACAAGCAATGGAAAATGACGATAAGGACGAGCCAGAGAAAGATAGTGCAGAGGAGGAAGCTGACGAGGAACAAACAACGGAAGATGACGATGGTGCAAAGGAGGAAGCTGACGAGGAACAAATAACGGAAGATGACGATGGGGACGAGTCAGAGAAAGATAGTGTAGAGGAGGAAGCTGACGAGGAACAAACAACCGAAGATGGCGATGGGGACGAGTCAGAGAACGATATTGCAGAGGAGGAAACTGATGAGGAACAAACAACGGAAGATGGCGATGGGGACGAGTCAGAGAAGGATGGTGAGGAGGTGGAAGTGACGGAGGAGCAAGAATTTGCTGCTCGAAACACAAATAATTTTGAAGTTGGGGAAAATGAGGTAATTCTATTTTTTTGTTCCACTCTCGTATTATTTTTTTGTAATTATACTTAATGAATTAGTTACTAATTTATAGATCGTGGACTCTGTATCGATTGTGATCATTTTTTTTCTTCTCCATTTGTATTTTACGTTTGAAGTTAATAATATTTCTCAAATGTTTAAATGTCTTAAATTGCTAATGATCATTGTATTTTTATATATATCATTGTTGTTGTCACGACTCTAATTTTCCTCCGTAGGATGTCATGATGGTACCTAATCCTAAGACTAGGTAAGCCTAAAACTTACTGAACTAAAAGACAAAATTTAACCAGAACAACCATTAAGCATGATACTAAAATTTCTATGATAAACCAATAACCCCGAGTGTAATACAATACCCAAAATTGGTAGTACAAGTCATGAGATCTAGTGAGTTTACTAGAAAAATTATCTAAGTATAGCTATTTCGGAATAGAAATAGACAGTATAAGTACAATGTCAGAAGGTGACTCTGAGGCCTGCGAATGCGACGACAGGTATACCTTGAGTCTTCACAGCAAAACCTGAACAACTAGCTAGTGATCAACCAACTCCGAAGTACCTGAATCTGCACAAAAATGTGCAGAAAGCGTAGCATGAGTATACCATAGTGGTACCAAGTAAGTATCAAGACTAATTTCAGTGAAGTAGTGACAAGGAAAAGTCAAGACACCTACTAGGTTGAACAATTTGTACGAGTATGAACGTGAAACTAACATGGAACAATAATAATATAAAGCTAAGCATGATAACAATAATGAAACAATGCTGGTAATAGGAAACTAAAAGCAACAATTAGCAACGAGACCCAACAGGTAATAACGTCGTGGAGTAAGCTGAATACAGTTTAAGTCCAATGAAACCAAGTAAGGAAAAACAAGTAACAACTCAATAAGAGCAACCACTTTCACACAAGATTTATTCAAGGACTTTCCCGAGGTACTTTACCTCATAGTCACATTTCACGGGTCCCAATTCATGAACCCTAATCACTTGGCATCTTGTGCCCATATTACAATTTATAACCGCACGGATGACTCATGTGCCAACAATAATAATGACCTTGACCGCACGGACAACTCACGTGCCAAAAGAATAACTTTCACACAGAAGGCAAGTAAGCGAGAGTACATGTAAATAATTTGTAACATTAGGATTCGTCTTCTTAAATCGAGATGGGTGATTAATTACATGTATACTTGTGCAAGTGTTCTATCACAACTCAAGTCAACAAATAAGAGTAGAGACAATGAATGATACATAGGGAACAATCACCACAAAAAAAGGTGCAATGTATAACTCACACAAGGTAGGCACATCACTACACAAATATCGTCAATAACAATGCCCCCTGGCCATCACAAGTCATCAAAAATTACTCCCCAACATAGCCCACCTTGTCTCGCCACGTGTGCAACAATAAAGTAAATGCCCGCCTTGTCTCGCCGCACGCGCATAATAATATTCACACCTTGTCTTGCCACATACGCAAACCCACATATATAGCCCGCCTTGTCACACCGTATGTGCAAATATCAATAATAACAATAGCACGGACAACTCACGTACGAACACCCCGACAATCCTCTCAGCAATACCATGTGTGCCAAAAACATAACAACACAATATAAGATCTTTCACCACATATGCCCATATGCCACCACTTTTACTCAAATAATTTCAATATCATAACCACGCATAGCCCTCGGCTCAACAACACTGAGTACATCAACAACAACAACAATAACACGAGAGTACGTCAAGTAAATCAACATAAGAACTACAGAACACAAAGAAACAAAAGAACGAGCTCACAACGGAAGACACCATAGGTAATAATGGTTTCAACAAGAATAGCTCAACAAGGGGAGAGATAATGTATAACAATGATTCCACCTAAGTACAACTCGACGATAAGAGAGATAACATGAATCAAAGATTTCAAATAAGGATAAGCCAACAATGAAATGGATAACAAAACTTCAGTTAAGATTAAGCAATTACGGAAGAGATAATAATAACTTCAATTAAGGTTAAGCATTTACGGAAAAGACATCAATAACTTTAATTAAGGATAAGCAATAACGAAAAAGACATCAATAACTTCAATTAAGGTTAAGCATTTACGGAAAAGACATCAATAACTTTAATTAAGGATAAGCAATAACGAAAAAGACATCAATAACATAAATTAAGGTTAAAAAATTACGAAAAAGACATCAATAACTTCAATTAAGGTTAAACAATTACGGAAAAGACAGCATGGCAATAAAAGATGTGACAACTTCAATTGAGACACCTAAGAATTTATTGGCAACAAAGGTAGAACATGGATCGATAAACTCCAAATAAGACACGTAAGGGTGAAATTAGTAAGTGGGGGGACCTAACATGATAAGGCAACTTCATTTTTAATGGACATAAGAACCTAAGGGTCTAAAACGGTACAATTCCCACAAATTAGCCTGAGCAGTACTCATCACCTCGCGTGCATGGCTTTCACATGACACAATTAGCATAAATGACTCAAATCCTAAGGGGTAGTTCCCCTCCCCCCCCCCCNGTCACTATCTAGCATGAGGCGGTGCATCTTTATGCCTACATGTCAAGTAATCAGTTTCATAATGAACTCATCAAGTACACACAATCTTAGCACACTCCAGGTGCCTTACTCAAATGCCTCAACAACATTACAATGGATCCATCAAATACTCACACTTAGTACTGTACGGGTGCCTGTCATAACTGTCCATCAACAAAGCACGTATATGCCCCCCCCAAACTTAGGCAAGATACTTACCTGAAAGAAACTAGACTAATACTCTAAAATGACCTTCTCGTGTGAAATAACCTCTGGACGGCTCAAATCTAGCCAAACAAAATTCATCTCATGAATAAAAACTATAGAAAATAAATCTAGATAATAAAGCTTCAATCTTTAACAAAAACTAAAAAGTCAACCCAAAAGGTCAAACCCCGGGCTCGTACCTCAGAACCCGATAAAATTCACAAAATCTGAACACTCATTCCAATACAAGTCCAACCATACCAAAATTATCCAATTCCGATATCAATTCGTCCTCCAAATCATCATTTTACATTTTTGAAAGTTTACACAAAATTTCCATTTTTCCCCAACTCAAACCACTAATTTAATGATAAAATCATGAAATAAAATCAAATCCGAGTAAAGGTCACTTACCCCAATCCAACACGTAAAGAAACTCTAAACAATCGCTCAATCCAAGGTCTACTACTCAAGATATGATAAAAATAGTCAAACCCTCGAAATAGAGTATTTTTATATTCTGCCCAGATATAACACATCGCGATCGCGGAACATTCCTCGCGATCGCGAAGAAGAAAAATGAAGGCTGCAAAAAATAACCTTACGCGAACACAAAAACATAGTGGCGAACGCGAATCACAGCGACCTCCGCTTACGCGATCGCGAACCCATTGATGCGAACGCGAAGAACAATTCCTGATGTCCCTTCCAGCTCTATCTCCACGCGCACGCTGAAGACATGTCGCAAACGTGGACTACAACCAACTGGACCTTCGCAATCGCATGCACACAGTCACGACTGCGATGAACAAAATCACTGAGCTCCCAGAATCAATTCGCAATCGCAAACCAACAATTCTAAAGCATGAAGAAATGGCCCGTAGCCCATCCAAAATACACTCGAGGCCCCCGGGACCCCGTCGAAATATACCAACAAGTTTCACAACATAACGCGGACCTGCTCGAGGCCTCAAATTATATCAAACAATATTCAAATTATGAATCATGCCTCAACTCAAACTTAATAAACTTATGCACTTTTAATTTCTACAACTCGC